TATGCTTTTGTGTCTCCTTTGTCTTCAATGCTTATGTATTTTTTTTTCCTTTCATCTCATTACCTACTGGTTTCAGCCATCCTGGCCGAAAAAAAATGCTCACTGTGAGGGGGATTTTCTCCTGGTCCTCTGGTAGTCTCATTCTTCAATCTACATTGCCTCTTTTGAATAGTAAGGGTGACTTTCAGGCCTCATCCTTCCTCATTCCCAGGGCATAAAGCCAAGATTCTCACTTCATATTACCAAGGAAGTAGCCTCTTGATTCTAGAGTGTTTTTATTCACTGTCTTTCCCACCCCTTGCCTTTAAAAAGCCTGCTTCCCGCTTCTCTGCTTCAGCCCAGGGAATCTGAAAACATACCTGTATTGCTGAAATTCCTGTTAGAGACAAATTATCCTAGAATGTTCTGTTTCTTTCCTGGGGAGAAAATTCAAAAGTAATGGGCTGAGGCTTCAGCAGAGTGTTTAAGTTAGAATTAAGGGCTGAATTATCTAGGGCATCGTACCTGGTTGACACAGTCATGGGGTGTTGGAGAGGGAAGAACAGGAACTGCAGCCATCGGTGTGGCCCATATCTCTGAATCAGGGGCTCTGTCTACCACAGGTCCTACCTGAAAGCTCCAACAGCTGAGGGATCTATATACGAGCACTCATAACCCATTTTTGGCATATCTGTTGGGAAATGTCAATAAGGCGTCAAGTCCAAGGCAGAGAGACTAGGAAGCTGGGAAACCAAAGAATGCCTAGGAAATATGTTCAGAGCAAGGTCAGACTCTGGCCCTGGGTCAAAATCTGTTGCTGATTTGGTCAGAAAATGAGCAGAAACCCGTTGTGATCCTTGCCCCAATTTGGGGGTATTGACAAGAATCGAAGTATTGCTTTGGTAATACTTTATTTGATATATTCCATACGCATTTCTATTTCAAGGCTGTGCCAGGAGGTAGGATATACCAAATAAAATTGAACATTGAACGTGAATTCTATCATGTAACGTCTTGTACTGGGTAGTTGATGAGGAGCTAGGGTTGAATATTAAGATTGGTGGTGGTTGATATCTTCTTTAATTCATTCATTCATTTACTGAATATTTATGGAGCACTTACTAGGTGCCATACAGTAAGGGAAAGAGATGAGAGACATTATCTGCCCCTAAGGAGATGAGAAAGACAAACATTTGCACTAGAAAGTGGCAGGTACCATGGAGAGGATTGGTATAGATCACTCTAGGAGTCCAGAGGAGGGCACATAAGCTAGCCTTGGGAGAGAAGAGGATATGAGGGTGGAGTTCCTGGAAGAAGCAGTGCCCTAGCTGGGTCTTAAAGAGTGAATAAGAGTTGGTCAAGTACAAGAGTGAAGGGAAGGGCATCTCAGGCTGAAGAAGAATATGTGCAAAGGCACAGAGGCAAGATTCAGTGCAGTGAGTTTTGGGGGATGCAAGTAATTTACTTCCTAGGCTGTTTGTAGGAAAGTGATGTGGGTTGAAGCTGAAGGGAAAAAGTGTCAGGTGAAGAAGGGCGTTGCACACCGTGTCAAGACATTTTACCCCAAAGGCAGTGGGAAGCCACTGAACAGTTTTAAGTAGAAGACAGTTGTGATTGTGTCTGAATTTTAGAAGCTCTTTTCTGCTAGTAATAGGGAAGAGAGCTTGGGAGAGACAAAGGTGAGAGCCCAGCTTTAACACTGACCCCATCGCCTTCCCACCTGTCTTTATTGTTCCATTCTCTCTATAAAATGTATCTATCTTAATAGCTCTTCACTGACGTATCCAACCTGATTTTCTGGCACTCTCCAACTTTAGTCAGGTTGACTCAACTTATTCAAACAGACCTACTCATTTGTGTCTTCTTTATTCAAAAACATTTAGTAAATGCCTATTGCATACCAGCCACAGCGCTTGGCATGGGGGAACCAAGGATGAATGAGATACTGAACCTGCCTTTAAGGGGCTCACAGACCAGTAGAGAGATACCATGGAGACACATTGTTACTATAAAGTGTGATGATGGCTGTGGGGTGGGATAAATATAGAGTACCCTGGGTGCAAAAAGAAGACAGGCTTGGCTATGAGAAGCCCTTCTCCTTCTCTGCTAAATCCTACCCATCCTCAGGCTCCTGCCTATATTCTTTATAGAGGCAGGGTAGTTTAATGGGTTGTTGCTTGGGCTCTGAAGCCTGCCAACAGGGTTTTAATCCTGGTTCTGCCACTTACTAGCCATGTGACTTTGGCCAGAAATTCTTTGTACCTCAGTTTCTTCATCTGTAAAATGGGAATGATGGCTGCATCAACTTCATAGGGTTATTGTGAGGATTAAAGGGGATAGCATGCATAAAATCCTTTAGAACAATCTTTGTCATGTGCAAAATATTTAATAATTATTAGTTACTATTATTCTCAGTTTTACTTCTTTTCTTCAGCATCTATATCATATCAAGAAATTGTAACCCCTAATTATCTATTAGTTTGTTGCTTGCCCCATCTTATGTATTGTCATGTTATTTCTCTCAAGAATGATTTTATTCTTCTTTGAGACAAAATACATTATATATTTATCTGTACTTTTGGGATACTTACAGTATTGGATATGTATTATGGCAATCAGCCATCCCAGTTTTCCCAGATCTGAGGGGATTTCTGGGACACAGGAATTTCTATGCTAAAACCAGGAAAGTCCTGGGCAAACTGGGACAAATTGATCACCTTACATGTAGTAGACACTTCAGTTTGGCTTTTTATTTATCTCTTATTGGTCCCAAACCTAATTTGCTAGCAAGCTCACTTTGACTTTGCCACAAAGTTTTATTTATTGTCTACAGAATGTAAAGTTACAATCTCTAGGGGTTTTGGGGAGCAGGGGTGGGGAGAATCCTGAGATTCTCTAGGATTTAAGGTGGACAATTTGAGGGATTCCTAAAATACCTCTCTCCCATCAGCTGTGGGCATATGGACTAGAAATTGTGGGACTAGAAATCCCACAAGAGCTTTCTTTAACCTGACCCACAGCCCTAGAGGTCTACCCTTGCCTGTCATTCCCCTTGTCTCCCTGCATGTCTCTCATGAGTGAATGACTTCCTTCATCTGCTTTCCAGAATTGACGTACCCTGGTTTAACCCAGTGGCAAAGCTCCTTTCCTCATATGAAGCTGCTGTTTTTCCATGAATTTCCTAGTTGGGGCCAAGTGATTTTTCCTCTTTTTCAACCCTGTCTTGGAAGCACTGGGACAATGTAAATGACTTTTTCTCTTTTTCAACACGGTCTCACCAGCATTGGAACGATGTTTACCTTGGGAAGTTGCTTTTCAAGCAGCATTCCTTATGGATCCCCTGGGGCCTCTCTCCAAATTTCTAGAAGCCAAGACAAGTGTTTGCCTGCCCATCTTCCCCGGTCCTATACCAGTACAATCAAGAGGCTGGCTCCACAGCCTCTGAACGTTTCAACCCTAGAGCCTCAGTTTCCTAGGGCTGTCGTAACAAAGCACCACGAGACCGTGACTTCGATAACAACAACTTCTTTTCTCACAGTTCTGGAAGCTAGACATTTGAGATCAAAGTGTCATCAGAGTTAGTTCTTTCTGTGGAATATGAGGGAGAAATCTGCCCTATGCCTTTTTCTCAACTTTTAGTAGTTTTCTGGCAGTCTTTTGCATTCTTAGCCTTGTATACACATCTCCCACTTTCTTCATTCATCTTCACATGGCATTCTCCCTGTGTGCATGTCTGTCTCTTCACATGGCATTTTTTTTTTTTTTAAAATAGGGACACCAGTCATATTGGATTAGGGATCTATCCTACTATAGCGTGACTTGAACTTAACGTAACTAATTACATCTACAATTATCCTGTTTCCAAGGAAGGTCACATTCCGAGATATTGGGAACATGTGAATTTGAGTGGGGGGTACAATTCAGTCCATAGCACCCAGGTCTTCAAGTGAGTCCAAAACACTCCTTATAGACTCGGAGACCCTGTCTCCATAAGCAAAACAAAGCACCAGAGAGTCATTGCTCACGAATCCATTTCAATTCTCCGCTCACTTTGTGTTTGATACTGACTGCTCTGCTTGTTCCCTACTCTAGAGTTTTGTGCTAACTCTAGGGATACTAAGAAATATTTGTACACCTGAGTCACCAGCTGTAAGTCAGGACATATCAGGAGACTTTCAAAATGAGAAGCCTGCTGAGGAAAAGTTGTATCTGTGGCAAATAATGTAGTAACTATTCTAAAGGCAGTGGCTCCCATCCTGATGAATAATAATTACAAGTTGGTTGCCTTTTAAAATGCTCTGGAGAATACCATGGTGTGTACAGACAGGGGGTTGGACAACTGTGTGTGCGCGTGTGTGCATGCAGTAGCTTATGATAAACAAAATCAACAGACCCCTCCCCAACCTTCCTGCAAACATTCCCTGGGCCCGCAGGGAGTAGCCTGCATCTCCTCCCTCTGACTGTGGCCGCTGCCTTTTGTCAGCTCCCTAGAGTTGCTGATCCCTTCCCCTCCAAAGAAATAGCTCTGTTCCAAAAAGATAAACACCAGTAGTTACAGGGAACTTGAGGAGAAAAGCAAAGCGAGTCTCCCAGTTAGTGTTTTTCTGGTGTTCTCACATAGAAATACAGACTGTCTTTGTGGGTGTGCTATTTCTGATCCTGACAGTTACAGCCTGAGATGTGAGGGCAGCGATGGGTTTTCTTGAAGGTAGAGGATTGGGAGCAGCTGGGGTATGGAGGTTCTCTAGGCTCTCTCCACTTCTTTCCAGGGACACTGCACCTCTGAGAAATCCCAGGGGTGGATGAGGCACCTCGCTGGTGCCCGCCTGTGCAGAGCAGCCAGGCAGGCTGCTAGCTTGCTGAGAGGCGGCGTGCCAGCTCCGCAAACTGCGCCTCAGTGCCAGATTAGGGAGCTGTCGGCTCAGCGCCCACGCCCCTCCATTCAGCTCGGGGGAGCCCCAGGGTGGGCTGCTGGAAGTCGCGACTGCAACTTGACTTTGCCTCACTGTTGTTGCTGGCAGAATACGTACACCAATGCGGACAAGCTCCTAGAAGCAGCGGAGCAGTTGGCTCAGACGGGGGAATGTGACCCGGAGGAGATCTACAAGGCAGCTCGACACCTGGAGGTGCGCATCCAAGACTTCGTGCGCAGGGTGGAGCAGCGGAAGCTTCTCCTGGACATGTCTGTCTCCTTCCACACACACACCAAAGAGGTAAGGGGAGCTAGTGGAGAGAGGGCATTCGGTCCTGCTAGGGTTAGGTCGGCTTCCTAGTAAAATGGCCCTGAAGGTCTGACCAGGGTCCTGGGTAGTCTGGAGGTTACTAACTTCCTAACTTTGGTAATATTAACAATTCGTTCCTGATAGCCTGCATTTAGGTCTCTCAGAATGGGGCAAAATTTCCTCCCATAATATCTAGTGAGGAAAGGGGGTCATGGAGACAGGGGGTTTTGGGGGCATATACTAGAGCATGCAATCTGCAGCTGGAGAAATGTGGGAATCCCTGATATAGCAATAGTCATTGCAAGAAGAAATGTAAGAGGATCACAGACTCTCTTCCTACTCCACACCCAATTTCTCTTGGTTGCTCTTTCCTGTCAGAAATGAGAGTCCTACAGAACTTTGATCAGGTATCTTTGCTACCAGCAAGGAACATGTAGAGTTTACAGTTGTGTTTTTTCTGTGTTTTAATTTTTTTTAACAGGGGATTTAATCTTCTTAATGAGGTCTGTGTCAGGGTGATATTAAAGTTGGTCCTCACTGTGCCTGAATGTGGAGTGACACGCATTGAAAGAAGGGGGACTGAGATGCCCTCCACCAAGGAAGCTGGCTAGGCTTGAAACCCAGCCTGAATAATTCACCAAGTGGAGAAAGGAAAAGAAAGGATAGATTATGTTAAGCTGCTGCAAGAGCAGAGGGGCCCCATAGAGAGGAGGATGGTTGCAAACTTATGATTGCTTTTCATTTCTGATTAACATGGGACATGCTGAAATTGAATAAGTGGCCAGTAAGGAGGCCCATTTAGCATCATCTGTAATAACACCCTTGGCGGATGAACTCATTAGGTGTATGCATGCTTGTGTCCCCTCCCAGGAATTCCCTTTAATAGAGTATTAATTAAAGTTTGATTGCTGCCCAGGGAAAAAAAAGTAGCCCTACTTAATTAAGTTGAATTTTAATATTGGGAATGCATTAAGAATCTTGGTTGTTACGGCCTTTTCTGACACCGAGGGAATGAATGCAAACCATTGCAGCGCCTATCAGAGAAAAACATGAAAAGATAATGTTCTCTCAACTGAGATTCCCCAGGCAGATGAAGGGCTGGCAAGCTCCCTGAGGCTGGATTTGCTTCCTCTCTGCAGGACCTGCAGCCACTCTCTGATGAGTGTCTATAAAGCAAGGGGATTAGCATTAATCCAGGGTTTCCTGCCTGGTTCTCTGCTTGGTAGTGGCTCACCCAATTGTTAATGAAAGTCTCAGAAACCAAAGGCATGTGTATTCCCTTTTACTTATGAGCCTGTGGGTGATAGAATGGAGTATGAACGAACAGGAGTCATGTTCCTCATGAGGGCTGTGGCGGTGCTGGCTGCATGGAGAAGTGGTGGACCAGGGTCAGTTTCCATGGAACTACCACTCCCAAAAGAGTGACCATGGCTCTCAGGAATTCCTCTAGCTACATCTCCCACCTTCTATACACAGAGCTAGAAGGCTGGGATTCTAGACCAGATTCTGCTGCTAAAGAACTATATGAGCTTGTGCAAGTCACTATGTCCCTGGCCTTGGGTTTCCTTATCTATAAAATTATGCAGTTGGAGTTGGTGGCTCTAAGGCCCCTTAAAGTTCTAATGTGAATCCAAGATTCCATTCTTCTTCTCGTCTTCTTTATTTGCTGTTGATAATGATAATAAATAATAATAATAATAATAATAATTAAACTGAAGTAATATAGGTGATTTACCGAGCCTAAGATTTGATTTATTGTAAGCTCTCAAAATACATTACATGCGTTTTTTAATGGACACCTGTTACTTGCCAGACACATATACCATCTCATGTAACCTTCATGATAATCTTATGGTATAGATTTTATTAAACACGTTTTTAAATGAGGAGACTAAGCCTCAGAAAATAACTTTTCTAAGGTTACAGACTTTCTCAGTAGTACAGCAGAGATTTTACCTGTCTTCCTATGACCTACACTCTTGTTTTTTTCTTTTCTATCTCCTTTGTTCTTCCTTCTCCTTACTTTTATTTTTCTGTTTTACATTTCTAAACCCCAAATCAGGGGCTTAATGGGTAGGACAGATCTTGGCTGAGAAATACACAGTGTTGCCAGGATTGGAGGTGTGGGAGACAGGAATAGTCAGGGAGTTATTGACTATTGTTTTCCCGGATATCTCTCACATCTTGCTAAGCTTGGTCCTGTTTGAACCTGAGACTTGTTTCCTCACTGGAACTCAGCTATAAAGTCACATTCATGTGAAATACTACTAGAAGGAATGGTGTGGTACAGGGGCCAGGTGAAGAAAGAGAAAGAACTGAAATTTATTTAGCACAAACTATGTGCTAGGCTATCTAGCTATCTAGTTCGTAGCCATGACAATTCTCATTTTTTAAAATTCCAGTTTTACAAATGGGAAAACCAAAGTTCAGAAAAATTAATAATTTGCCCATAATTTTATAGCTAGGTTGTAGTAACTACAGAAATTGACCCCAGGTCTTTCTGACTCTAACGGCCATGCTTTTTTCTCCTTTGCCACAAAGACTTTTATATACAGGCTAATAAACAGAGACTTGAATGAATTTTTTTTTCCATCAGAGAATTCATTCAAACAGGAGGCTATCAGGAAATTGCATAGTCTCTTTCTCCTCAGTCCCAAAAAATGAGAGAAATTTGGAGCAGCCCTGCCTGGATACAAAGGGGTTTGTGGTTGTGAGGCTCATTCTATTCAAGACATCTACAACTCTCTGATCATACAGATTTGATTTTATTTTTCAGGATGGACAGAAAAGCAACATTTTGAGTGACTGTCACAGAGGAGCTGTTCCCAGGGGACATGCAGTGGGACTTTGTATCTGCATGTTCCCTCTTGGTCACTTTCCCATCCAAATCAGTCTGTGTGAGGTCCCCTTTAAGTGATTTGCAAGGCAGCGTAGAAAATAAGGTGTGTGTGTATGTATACATGCACATACATGTATATGTGTACACATGAACATATATGTGTACACACACATGCAAATGTTCCCACACACTAAGTACAGCAAGATCTTGGATGCCAGGTAGGTTTGATTTCCAGATCCTTTTTTTTTTTTAATGCTTCATACCTTTGGGAGAATTGCTCTTAATCTCTGCTACTTTGTAATAATTATGAGGATGACTATTACAAAATAAAGTAGTACAATACTAGCACTCATTTTTTCCTAGTATGAAACTTCCTCCCACATTTTTCTTAGTGTTTCTTTAAAGTAGGCTTAATAAGAAACTTAAAGCTCAACTTAGACATTATTTGTTTTTCCTTGAACTTCTTCCCGGGTGCTTGCAACTTTCACCCAGACAAGAGCAGAGCGCTGTATATACCTCCATCAGTGGTGCCATGGTCACACTGAGCTGTGATTCTCTCCTTCACTAAATTGAGAGTGCTCATATGTATAGTACACATGTGACATTAGATATGTAGATACAGATAATACTGTGTCTGATACATAGAGGTGCTGAATAAATATTGAATAAATGGGTTTACTTGACAATGGGAAGCCAGTCTCTGCTAACAAAAGTAAAAGAAAAAGAAGAAGAAAAATGAGAGAAGAATCCCTTCAATTACATTTTAATCTATTGCAGTTCTTTGATTTGAGCTCTCCAGATATTGTAAATAAGGGGGGCTGGGTGGGGTATCTAACTTGCTGATGGGAGCTTTCCTTCAGGACCTATATATAGCAGGCAGAAATAGATTATTAGGGGGGCAGAAATGAGCGTCCTTGAATGGTCTCATGAAAGAACTCCTGTGGTTTGATTTTTCCGTACTCTGTTTAATACCTCTCAAGACTTGTCACCTCTCAAACATCACTAACTATGGGTCCTATGTGTTCCTGAGTTCATTCACTCTTGACTCCTTCCTCTTGACTCTATAGGCAAAGTTCTGGCTTTTTATTCAGGAGAGGATTAGTAGTCTGTTAGGGAATTTTGAGGTGCCGTGGTTGCTTTTCCCTCTTACTGTGAGTAGAGTGAATAGAAGGAAAATCTGCTCAGCATTGCTAAAGTGGCCTTCGGTACTGCTGATAAATATCGTTGTAAATCATTTCTGCCTCATTATGGCTATCTTCTTCCTTCTTTCTTTCCTTCCTCCATTTCTTCCTTCCTATAATAATTTGCAGAGTTTCTGCCTTGGTGCCAATTTCTAACAGAATGTTATCATAGTCTATAATTTTCATGGAATGAAAGCCCCTTTTGCAGGAGATTTCTAAGTGGGAACTGAATATCCACCTTCATAAATGATTTAACCTAGACTTCCTATGACTCCCCAGGCTAAAGTTCATAATTTTACTTTTGCCATATTTCCACATCAAAAGATTTACTCTAATTAGGATCAGAGAGGAAACAGGAGGAAGATATAAAAAGATAACCTCCAGGCTCATTTCTTCTGCAAATTCAAGTCTGCTTAATCCTACTGGCCTCATGAATTCTTTATTTATTGTAGGAACCTAGAGGGTTAAAAATGTCTAACTATTTCATCACAGTGTTAGCCATAATCTTGAATAATTAGAGACCATCTAAATGTTTCACACTGGGTGATTTCGTTAAACAAATCATAGTGCATTTATATAGTAAAATATTACACAGTCATTCTAAATCACATTGCCAAAGATCATTAATGACATGAGGAAGAGCTTGTGGTATAATTATAAAAACTGTATATCCAATACAACACAATTTCAATAACACATATAGAATAAGTACCAGAAGTAAATATACCAAGAATTTAAGAATGTTATGGGAGATTTAATTTTTTGGCTTTTTTGTTTGTTTGTTTTGCAAGATTTCTTCAATGACATTTTAAATTTATAATCAGGAACAATCCAATAAATGTTATTTTTCAAAAGCAGAACTATTCATCCCTACTTATACAGAAGAGTTACTGAAAAAAGAAAGGCGACAAACATGTACTTGGGACTTTCTTATACATCCAGAGCCTCTACTACTAGTACAAATTGTGCTGAACTTAAATACATTCTTTTTGCCTAGAGCCAAGAGGGCAGCCAGCTTTGTTTTCTGGTCTGGAGAGCTAGCGCAAGTTTGGGAAAGCATTGACCCAAGTCCTCATTCTTTTTTTCCAGGAACATGGCATTTGTAGCACCTGCCCTGTAGAAATTGTCATCACAGAATTCTCTTTCCTTGCTGTGTTTCCATGGAAATGCTGCAGTCACTGGGCTTTCAAAATATCCATTTTTAGATATTTTTGTTGTATAAATATAAGTCAAGTTAAATAAGGAATGTAGCCAAAGTAACCAACCTCTGCTCTTTATTAGACAGCTTAATTAAATACCCATTTCTATTTGTTTCACCTTGTGGAATCATTCTGCCACACCATTTCCTACTCAAATAGGTACAGACACACCACAGACACTCCTATATACACATGTTCCTCTACCCACCAACTCTGGAACCAAAACTAAATTGGTCTTCAAGAGGGGTGATGGCTTTAAGAACAAAAATAGCCTCATCCTCTGTTTCACTTGCTGTACTGTTGTACTATTTATTTAAGAAATGAGCAGGTGATTGATGCCCAGGAAAAATTATCTTTTCAAAATGAGGGAAGAGGAGGTTCACCATGTGGATATGGTGTGCCTTTCAACATCCTTAAGGATTGTTGATACCGTTATTGTTAATCAATTGTTGTCAGCACAATGGCTGCCCAAGCTGTGCAAATGGAACAGCCAATCAGCCGGAGAAAGTGAAATAAAATGACCTCTTTCCTTAACCACTCATCCGTAAGCCTCGTTATTTTTCTTACAAACCTCCTAGGCTCTTCCTCTCTTGTCTGCTTCCTTCCTGTCTTTTTCAGTTGCCCCTTTCTCAGGCTGCCCCACTATGCAAGCGGGCGAGGGTCTGTGGGCTGACTCACTGGTTCACTGTTAGAGCTAATCTTATGTAGGGCATGGAAAGGCTCCTTTAACTGTACCCCTATCAAGGTTCTAGAAATTCTCAAATTGGACCCATTCTTTTGGATGTAGGTATTTTTGGTCACAACTACATGTGTTTTCTGTAAGAAAGAATGCACAAAACCATCTACATGTGTATATCAGCATGGAGCAAGCAACCATTGCCAAGAAGAGAGCGGGACCGTAAAAGAAGGGTCATAGTACACATACATTTTGATCAAGAAGAGAGGGTCTGGAAATGGCTGAAACATGGGATTTTTTTTTTTTTTTTTTTTTTTTCCTGGGGAGAGGGCGGGTTGATGGAGAAGGTACAGTGCTATAATGTTAAACCTTAGATAAGCAGAAAGGAAAGCGGCTCACCCATGGAAGAGAAACCAATGTGGAAGACAGTGTGGAAAAAAGCACACGTGGTTGCTGCTGCCTCACTCACTCCATTATTTTACCTAATTAGTTCCAGCAAACATCGGCTTGTAGTAGCTTGACAGAAAAGATTGTTCTGGCTGGATCTCACTGACTGCTTAATAATCAGTAAAGTAGTAGCAGAAGTGTCCCTCTAATTTGGACTTTTTTCAAAGCATGTTTTTCAGGGCTAAATCAGAGGGACATACACAGAGGAAACCTATGGGACACTGAGAGAGCTAGAAAAATTACAGCCTATTATATGGGATATTGACTCTACTCATGGTTTAGTAGCACCAACTTTTATTTCTATCTACCTTATGGTGCTAAGCCTCAGAGGTGCTTATTCAAAACTGTGAGCTTGCAATTTAAGTTTGCTCCCACCAGGCAGTGACTGTGTGCCCCAGGTCCACAATTTCACCTCTCTCTCTTTACATGTTTTTTCTTTTAGAACTATCAAGACTTTTTAGTTTCTACGCTTTCCTCGGTTATCCTGAGACAAAGTGACAAAAACAAAATAGAGATGCCCAGCCCAATCTAGTATCTTGAAGGACCAAATTCGATGTTGATCTTATACAAACTCCAAAATGAAGGAGTACTTCAAACTTTCCCTCTGCCCTCTAATGGGAACTGGAGATGGCTTGCAGCAAAAGCATCTTTTTTTTTTTTTTTTTTTTTTTAAAGACAGAGTCTTGCTCTGTCACCCAGGTGGAGTGTGATGACACAATCACAGCTCACTGCATTCTTGACCTGCTGGGAACAAGCAAGCAATTCTCACGCCTCAGCCTCTGAAGTAGCTGTGGCTACAGGTGTGTGCCAACATGCCCAGCTAATTTTTGTGCTTTTAAAAAAAATTTTTTTATAGAGGCTGGGTCTTACCATGTTGTCTAAGCTAAAAATATCTTTTAAATGTAATAATATGTAGCACTGATACAGTATTGATTATATGTTAGACACTGTTGATAAGTAAGATAGATAATATATTTGTGTATACATACACATATATCAACTTATTTGTAATCTTTATCACAACTCTCTGGGAGGAAAGCACTGTTATTATCCCTATTTTACTGATAAGGAAAGCCAAGGTGCAGAGAGAACAAGTAACTTACCCAAGATTATATAGCTAATATGTGGTAGAACTAGGATTTGAAACTTTTTTTTTTTTTTTTTGGAGACAGAGTTTTGCTCTGTTCCCCGGGCTGGAGTGCAGTGGCGCGATCTAGGCTCACTGCAGCCTCTGCCTCCTGGGTTCAAGCAATTCCACTGCTTCAGCTTCCTGAGTAGCTGGGATTACAGGCACCTGCCACCATGCCCGGCTAATTTTTGTATTTTTAGTAGAGACGGGGTTTCTCCATGTTGGCCAGGCTGGTTTCAAATTCCTGACCTCAGGTGATCTGCCCACCTTGGCCTCCCAAAGTGTTGGGATTACAGGTGTGAACCACTGTACCCAGCCCCTGAAACTCTTAAAGACTATGCTACACTGCCTCTCTGTACAATAATTTTTCAGAGAATCCGTCATCTCTTCCCTAAAGACTTAAATACACTTAGAAAATGTGTTTTCTCTCTAGACAAAACTACAGCCAGAAAATATGAAGTGACATTATGCTATCATTATCAATATCCTATACTTCCTGGTTTTATGCTGATTTGAAATTAGCATATTCTCACTTACAGCAACATGTATCCCAGCTTATATGGTCTGGAAAACTTGTTTGGTGTTTTATTTGGAAAGGAAATAAACTGAACTAATTACAACCAGATTTGCAAGCTGATAAATGTGAGGGTTGCTGAATAATAATTTGCATTCCCTATAGCAATCAGCATAATGCTATAGGCTTAATACTGCTATAAGTTTATTTAAAGCATTAATAATAAGGAAATAGTTCAGTCCTCACAGTCTTTGAAGTCAGCAGGGCAAATCTTGTTCTTCCCATTTTGTAGATAAGGAAACTAAGACTCAGGAGGTTACTCACCTGTACAAAAAGGACATTCTTTACTCTTTCTTATTCACAGCCTGTAAAACTTATTAATCTTCCTGTTAACCTCTTCTGCTGCATCTAGGGCTTCTCTATCTAAGGAACAAAGAATAACTTGTCCAAAATCTTGAAGACTATTTTTGTCTCTCTTTATTTTTTTTAATCTTCCCTTATTGAAAAGGCCATACTGTAATTTACCATACTGAGAACCAACTTGATGAAATAATATTCTTGAGGTAGACATTTACCTATGTTTTTAATAGGGAAGACTTTAAGATGTTAGAACCAGATGGAAATTAACCAATTTATTTCATGCTTTCCACAACCTACTTTACACATGATGTCATGGAGATCGAAAGGTATAGTGATTTGTGCAAAGGCACCATGAGTAATGGGAGGAATAAAAGCCAAAATCTGCATCTTCTGACTCCATCTATCAGTTTTCTCTCTCTACTGACTTTTTTCCTGGTAGAGCCCTGAGCTTATCTTTCCTGCTGGTCAGGTGAAGACTCCTGGTTTCAAAGCAAACACTAGACTCATCTTCCCCTCTCTCATTTATGAAAATTCTCAAAGTAGTCAAAAGTGAGCTTTCTGGCAGGCCACTGGAGACCTGTATTCAGTATGATGAGGAAAACCTATCAATAAATGATTTTTCAGTAATTCAGTTTTAACTCCTCAACATTTCCAATGCTTATTTTGTTCAAAACACTATACTTAGCTCTTTTAAAGTTATCTAGCCAGTAATACCTAGTTGTATTTTATCATCTTGAATATTATGGGAAAATGTCTCTTACATTTATTGAAATTAAGATAAGCCACCATTTTTAGCATTCAATTTTCTAACCAATCTAGCAATTTTAAAAAGAACAAAATAGTATGGGATATGTACAGAATATGCTCAGTTAATGTACATTTAGTTCTTATTGACCACCACATTCTTTGTATATTTGCAATATCATTATACATTTCTAGGAATCAATGTGCACAGAGCACATTACTCCCTTTCGTCCTTTCTGAAAGAGGAAATAATATTCGTTCATTCTAGTCTCCTGTTCTTCCTAGTGGTGTCTCAAAGATGACTGATCTCCTTGCTCTAAGACCACACCTGTAGGTTTCCCTGAACCACAGGGAAGTTAAGCCAGGGGTGATTCCTGTCTTTAGGGACTATCAACACCAATGGAGTAAACTTAGCAAAGACTGGTGATGAAGATAAATGTAAAAACACAAAATGACCCATAGGTGTGCTGATCAGAATGGCACTGACTGGTTGAGAGTAAGTTGGGTGATTCCAGTCTAGCTACCTTGCCCTCACCCCAGCCCTGGCCTCTCCCATCTTCCCTGAGTGGAGTCTCTGCTCTCTCTCTACAGTTGTGGACATGGATGGAAGACCTTCAGAAGGAGATGTTGGAGGATGTCTGTGCAGACTCTGTGGATGCAGTCCAGGAACTGATCAAGCAGTTCCAGCAGCAGCAGACCGCCACTCTAGATGCCACGCTCAATGTCATCAAGGAAGGCGAAGACCTTATCCAGCAGCTCAGGTCAGCGCCTCCCTCCCTGGGGGAGCCCAGCGACGCCAGGTCAGCATGGGCAGAGCTTTCCAGTGGGAAATGCCTCGGGCTAGACGTGAGATAAGTCCTGTCCCAGTCTTGACTCAGCAAAACCTTGCTTTGTGGTCTTGTGTGAGCTTCGGTTTCTTTATCTGTAAGATGTAAAAATGCCTGCACCATACCCAACTTGAGTCTAGAATGAAATAGTAAATGGAAAAACTTTAATGTTTCAAAGCATTATTTATCATTCAGGATGTTATTCAGCCATCAGTAAGTAACATAAATACAACAAAAATTAACAAAAGACAAAAAAATAACAAAAGTAAAAAATCATTAAGAATTAGGGCATATTTGCTCATGCAGAGAAATAGACATTATGGAATATGGTGTTATCTGACATCTGGTCTTAGGCTGAACTCTGACCTCCAGTGCCCCAGTCAGCAAAATCAGATCATGTTGCTGATGTTTGACTTTGGACCCATGAAGACATAGAAAAAGTGTGGTGGTGTCCTACCAGTTCCCTGTTACCCAATTATGACCTTTTACCATTCCTTGCTGCCCAGAAAATAAAACTCCTTCTGCATCAACCTAAACAAACATAACTAAGGAGACAGATCCTGTCTAAAACTTTTCATTTGTTTAGAATTACCCAGGCCATTGCCTCCTTTCTACTGCCATCAATATCTAATTTTCTGTCCCTGTCAAGGACACTGGCTCCTTAGATAAAGTGTCATGAGGCCTTAGGCAAGCCCTCAGCAACCAAACCCATGCCCAGGTGCTGTATAAATAGGATTTGATGGTGCTAATGATGCCTGCCCACAGGGACTTGTTCCTATCCCAAAATCACTGAGTGCTGGGACCTCTGCCAGCTCTGGACAGAAATAATCTCATCAGCAAGTCCCAGGCCAGCCTTAGGGCCTGAGGGAATTACGTCAATTGGAGACGGTTTTTTTCACCCATACCAGTTGTCCAATTAAATAAACAATGAGAAATTACCTTTAGAAGGCCCTGGCATGTTTTTCTGTTGGAAATTAATAATTTCTATTCCAAACATGCACGTGAGATGCTCCAAATCCTCCTATTGCATGCTAACAAGACAGCCTCTTTTCCTTCTTCCCCTAATTCATCTTCATGAATATATAATACATGACAGCTTTGTCTGCCTCCCTAGGAAACTCCACTGTCATTTGCTTCTGAAGAGAATTCCAAATAGTGGACAGTCATTTAACCTCTCTGGGCCTCAGCTGCTTCGTCTGTGTGATTAAGGGGTTCACTCTAGGAGTTCTGGCAGCTCTAGAATTTTGTGATGGCTTTGTGTTATCTATTCAAATACTTTTCACAGGCTTGGCTGGCTTCACTTTCTGTGGGGCTAGGCCTATGAAGATGCCACTTAACAACTGTAAACCTGCAATGCCTAAGGTCATATGCCTAAGGGCATATGGCTAAGGGCATAAGGCTACTTGATGATGGCAAGGGCAACAATGTGTGTGATGCCTGCTCTGCAAGATTAAATTCCATGGGTTTCAGAGAGTACCGCAGGCATATGACCAAGAGCCACTGGTGACCATTCATTGTGCCAGTAACCTGACTCTAACCTAGGCTCCCCTCCCTGACCTCAAAGCAAGTCAAAGAGAAAAAGAAGTAAATGGTGCTTAGTGGACATTGGCAGGATACCTCACACACACCAGAAACATCTTCCCTAGGTCTTCGTGATTTTTCTGACACTTGTCACTAGAGCACCTAAGGGAGATTTTACATCATCTCTGTGATTCCTAGTGACTGTGACACTGACATAGTGCCGCATAAAATGGTCCAAAATCATTCTCTTCCTTCTGGAAGATGAGTGATGGAGAAGGACTGAGAGGAACAATCCAGGAGAATAATCATATCCTCCCAGCAGCAAAGCCCTCAACAAATACATAGCAGATAGCACTGAGTACATCTCATGTTCTTTTCATGCCTGGGGATGTCCATGCAGTTGTGGGAGTAGAAACTGTGCCTGTATCACAACAAACAGGCCAGGGTGAGGAGGCAGGAATTGGGAGCCCTCTGAATGGTAGACAGAAGGACGCTTGACAAATTAGCCTTATGCCATCTTCAGAAACACAATGAGCTCAGATACCATTGCTTCTGAGACAAACACAGGCTAAAAGAACATGGCTTTCAGAAAGCCTGCTGATGAGATGATTGGAAATAAATGATTTCCTCCTTGTCCTTTGACTCCTTAAATTGTGTGAGAAGCTAAGATGTCACAAGATAATGAGTGTGCTAGTTTATTTCAAGTTTTAGGGCTCTAGCTTACTCAAGGCTCTATGGAATCTAAACTTTAACTTAGCCTCCATCATTTTCTTATTATAATTACCACCACCTCATTTTGCTGAGCAAAATCAATCTGTTTATCTCTCAGTTTCCCTCTACAAGGCATCACCTCTCCCTACTACGTTTGTGGAGACTCTCCCTCCTCAAAGGAGGCTACACCTCCTCCTATTGACTGTGTTTCTCCATTTCTTCAAACCCCCACATCAAAACTGTTTGCAGCCTTTGTTGGTTGTCCCAGCTTCTTAGGATCTAGCCTTTACTCTCCTGATCAGCACTTGACACTTCACTTGTGTCCTTTCAGGAGTAATAATCATCCATACAACATGTTACTGGTCTTAGTTCATGTGCACTCTTATTTAACAGCAAACTGTGAAGTGGGCAGGGCAGAAATTATTAAGTCCACTATTATTAAGTCCACTTGACAGATAAGGGAGCTGAGGCTCAGAGAGGTGATTTCCCAGGACCACCAGCCTAAATATATCAGAGTAGAGACCTAATTCAGGTTTGCAGGCTCCAGATCCTATGCTTTCCTAAGTATAGCCTGAGCCTGTTTAGTATAATAACACCAGCCCATAACTTTAGCATAGCTTTATAAAGTGCATGCTTATAATTTTGGCAACCATGACATCATCTGTTTTAACAAAGAGTCTGTGAAGTAAAAGTAGGAAGATTTTTTTAAAATATGCCTTTAATATGTTTGTCTGTGTGTATTGTGATAGATGTATGTGTGTGTATGTGTGTGTTGAAACTATACATATTAGACTACATATAAGTGTGGAACCATTCCATTTCTCTAATATTTTATGCCTTTTAGAGTCCTTTCTCATACATAATTTCATCTTATTTCTTTCACAAGTCTGCTTGAGGAATAGGAGAACAACTAGTCTTGGAAATAGACTTGTGAACCCAAAACAGGATGCATATAGCTTTGGTTCACTCATTAAGCAGATAGCATCAGGCTCACAGCAGGAGTTTGATAAATTTCTGTTGATTGAATGACTCAACTGATTCACATCCACCTTGCTCAGATGCAGAAGGTCCCCCTCCTTCTCTGTCACTTTTAACATGGAAAGGCCTCTCCCTCCCTTTTTCTCCCCACTCTGCCACAGGGACTCAGCTGTGTCCAACAACAAAACACCCCACGGCAGTTCTATCAGCCACATCGAGTCGGTCCTTCAGCAGCTTGATGATGCCCAGGTGCAGATGGAGGAGCTGTTCCACGAGCGGAAGATCAAGCTGGACATCTTCCTGCAACTGCGCATCTTTGAGCAGTACACCATCGAGGTACTGGAGCGGGGAGCAGGACGGGAGGTGGAAAGGGGCCAAGATGCTTCCTGGCCAAGGGCACTGCCCCAGGGACAGGGCAGTAGCCTAAGGAAATTAGAGCATCCAGCATGCATTTTTAGAACACAAGAAATTCCCAGTCCACTACGACATATTCCTTCCAGTGCTTCTCATCCCCTACTGCCGAGCGGAGCCCCTCTAGTTTACTTTCTGTCTGTAGATTACTTTCTTGAGAAGGTTTTTTGTTTGTTTGTTTTGTTCTGTTGAGATGGAGTCTTGCCCTGTTGCCCAGGCTGGAGTGCATTGGCACCATCTTGGCTCACTGCAAGCTCCATCTCTCAGGTTCAAGTGATTCTTCTGCCTCAGCCTCCCAAATTGCTGGGATTACAGGCACGTGACACCACACCTGGCTAATTTTGTATTTTTAGTAGAGATGGGGTTTCACCATGTTGGTCAGGCTAGTCTTGAACTCCTGACCTCAGGTGATCTGCCTGCCTTGGCCTTCCAGAGTGCTGGGATTACAGGCATGAGCCACTGTGCCCAGCCAAGAAGTTTTTTATTGCTATCTATTAGAGTCTTACTTGGCATTTTCCTGAAATACCATGGAGCTGGTAGTTCGATGATGGGAGTAGGGTCATTGAATTTCACAGCTTTATGAATGGGTAGATGTTAAAATTAGGTGGCCTCCTTAGAGCTGATAATATAAATCATGCATTAGATTCAATCACACAGCAGTTAAGAAGCCAAGCACCACAGGAAGGGGAATTTGTATCTGCAGTTTGATTTCTACGTGTTAAGAAAGTAAGCCTATGCTAAGATCATTTGTTAGTTCTTCTCATAAACTCCTCAGTTTATTTTCGGAAGGTTGGAATCACATATTCTGGTAAATTTATGTCCCCTTTATCATACCAATTAGTAATGTCTTCTCTCACATAATTTCCCCCTTTTAATATTTGCTTTGAAACCGTAACTAAAGCCAGGCCAATAGGGTTTCTGTGGTATGAGGAATATCCAACATAAGGCACTTTTTCCTTTTCAGGGATGGCAAAGGATTGAATTAAAGGCATGTCTTCTCTTTGCTCCTGGCTGGTATGGTAGGAGGAAAAACCAACTTTCCACCCACCATTTCTTAACTTTGTTTTCCATTCCAACCATCTCTCTGGAGTTAGGGCCTCTGGGTTTCTGGAGAGTGATCTTCCCGATAATATCTGCGGAAACTTCAGTGGAACAGCTTTAGAAGGAAATTTTTAAAAAGAATATATTGAAAGCTCCAATATCCCATCCTAATCCAACTCAATACAAGAGACTGTCTTGGGAACAGCTACCCTTTGCTTTAATCCTGGGTCCAAAAATGTTCATATTGAGAATCTGAAGTGTAAAAGAAAAGCAATCATAAAGGTATTCATCTTTCTATCCTTTACTTTCTTACAAGCACACCTGTACTCCAGCCTCCTTGGGAGAACTTGTAATTTCTTGCTTAAAGACTTCACGTTCTAAAAGATGCTTTCTGGACAGGTCCTGGAACAAAGGAGAAGTTAAGCCTTTAAATCTAGATCTTAACTATCCTTCCAACTGATTTCATAACCTTACGTGAATTTATTTATACTTTTTATTTATTTTGAATGTACTCTCAGGATTTCAGGTGGCAAGTAGTATCAAAACATGTTTTGAAAAACAATCAAAATGCCAGTGGGAAAATAAAAATATTGACATGTAGTGAAAAGTATATGTAGTGAACATTTTAAAGGCAGGGTAACAAGGTAATAAAGAGGTAAAAGAGAGGGTTTGGGTCATTATTCTTTAGTAATTTGGATTGAGATGTACAAAAATAAATACAGGCTAAGTTGATTAAAGTAGCCAAAGGCACTCCTGCAATCATTCCTCAGCTCCATTTTGCCCCCTGGGAGTGAATACATCCATGGAGAAATTATGTTAGCAGGTTTGGTGGTTTTGCTGTTGTACTTCTTATTTACTCTCCTGTCATTCTGGGTCTGCTTCAAAACATGCTTAAGGGGGAGGAAACAATCTGAGGGTTTGGAGTAAGTTTTATTTGAAAAGATGGCTGTGGCCTGGAAGTCAGGGTTGCTGGTTCAGTGCTGGAATGGGTCAGTTAGCTTCGCTTTGACATCATCTATGCCCCTCACATCAGCTGGGGGCATCACATGGGTGTCTTTGCTTGCTTCGATTCTAGGCAAATCCAGTTCCACTCCTAAAAAACGATCTAAAACATATGGAGAAAATATCCTTTAAAAAATGTGGGTTTAAATCGCATGCATTAAAATTGGATCTGGTTTAAAGGTTACGAGAGAGGAACTTGATACTTAAATTATGGGGCCGAGGGTGGTGGCTCACGCCTGTAATCCCAGCACTTTGGGAGGCCAAGGCTGGCAGATCACTTCAACTCAGGAGCTCAAGACCAGCCTGGGCAACATGGTGAAACTCCATCTCTACCAAAAATAGAAAAAATTAGCTGGATGTGGTGGTGGGCACCTCTGGTGCCAGCTACTCAGTAGGCTAAGATGGGAGGATCACTAGAGCTCAGGAGGCGGAGGTTGCAGTGAGCTGTGATCACACCACTGCCGTCCAGCCTAGATGACAGAGTGAGAACCTGTCTCAGAAAAAAATAAAAAATAAACAAATAGATTGTGGGATTTGCATTCTTTAGCCTTTGTATGTATAAAAATTCCTCTTCGTACCCCAAGTACTGGACAACAACTGGACAACCTGGTATGCAGGCTAGCACGAGTGTGAGGGCCTCATAAAGTGAGGGAGAGAAAAATCATGATAGGATTCTGCATCCTCTGGTGTAGGCTATAACATCCGGATTTTAGAAGGGGTCTTATTCCCTTGTCTTGTGGGAGAGGCCCAAAAGCTTGGGGAGAATGCCACATCTAATCTTAGAACTGGAAATCCTGCCAAACCTATGAAAGTTCTGCTTTGAGTCAGATTGTCAGAATTTATTTTTGAGGGTGTTGAGATTATTCAAATACCAGCTATGTCTCACTGTGGGGATGAGGAACGAACTTTTAGAGAAGCTTCTAAGTGTGAAACTGAGGGTGGTTTCTGTAACGAGAGGTGTGTTTATGCTGACATAAGCCAGGGCAGGGTCTGTGATTATAGGACCTACAGTGTGGTTTCTTTCCTAAAGGAAAGCATTTGATAGACATGCTCCAGATTCCTCGGGATTACCGAACACTGGAGGAGGCCTGCTACCCTGCATCTGAGGAATCTAAGCGTGACTCCTTAGGCATATCACTGAGGGCCCAGATGAGCCAGTTAATGTAATCAGTAGGATAGCATATGAGCTGCTGCACCAATCTCTTTTTACTCAATAATAATGGTGCTCACTTTATAACCTGGAATGAGATCATAGGGTGCGCCCACGTAAAGTGAAACATCCTAAATTTGTTAGTCAGATGTTCAAAACCAGGCCCATAGCTGGATTTCTGGTATACCTTCTTGGACTCCATGGAGACCAAAGTGACCTATAATGGAACATGATGTTCTGTAATGTTTTTTTCCTGTTGGTTCAGCCTCCTTCTATGAAAGACATTTTATATAAACTAGTTACGATAGAAGAGACATTTCACCAAATACAAATGTTTATTTTGTGATGGTAAGAATATGGGTGATTTTTTTTTCTTATTTTTGATACTTTCTTACATTTCCAAGTTTTATACAATTAGGAAGGACAATCGGAAAGAAATGAAAAATATTTTTAGAAGCAAGAATAGGCCAGTGGTCTCTGAACATTTTTGATTATGTACCTTCTCAGTTTTTTTGAACTTGCAACCCCCTACATATAAATATTTATTCATTTTTAAGTTACAAAAATGTTTGGTCACTGGCTAATAATTTCAAAACTCAACACGCTCTTAGGAAGAGGTTTAGATTTTTTCATTAGAAGTTGTGGGTTCCATATTTCAAATAGTCTTCTGATAATTTCCAATTATTTTTTCCCTGGTTTCTTGAGAGATCGGATTAGATTGTCATTGTTGCCTTACCCCATAATGTGACTGACAGAGAATTCAAAGTTCTCTTGTGCTTTCATGATTAGTATTATCTTCAAACTGCAGTTTCTTTGCAGGAACCTCGTTAAACCATGTGTCTTTTTGTGAAGGTTAGTTTAGTTAAAACTAGATAGTAGATACATCTATTTAACTGGACAAATGAAAAAAAGCAATAATTTGAAATGTGCAGAAAGCAGTGAACAAATGAGCTACAGTCAGCCCCACAGAGTTGTGACACTCCTACCTTCCCTGAGGAGCCCTCTTTTTCATGCCCTCCACAAAGCCATCTGCCATGTGATCAGAGTGAGACTCCAGCACCAGTCTACTAATGAAAATCCTGGGAAATTTTATACACTTTATATTGGCTTGATAAAATATATGTGCATAATATAATATATATACACATATATGCATATTTATATCAAGATAATTTTTCTATTATCAATAGATAATTTGGGGCATTTTCTGAGATGGGCATACTCATGTTGAAAAGCCTTAGAAATGACACCAAGAAAGATAGATATTCTAGACAAGGAACTTTCTGAAAATATGGGCCACCTTTATAGTTTTTCTTTTAAATATCTGTGTAATTGCAAGCAAGGTGTGCTTAACGCACCTGAAAGTTTATTGAGTAATTAACCTGAGTAGGGGATGATCTACCAATTCTAAATCTATGGGGTTCATGTAAAGCAAATAGGGGCCAGGCTAAGGCTGGGGAGAAACGGCATTCAAGGAAGAAACTTCTGCCTAAAGAAGATAAGCTGATTATAACTTACTGGTGGTCTCAACTCTTCAATTAGTTGCTTGCAGAGGCCCTTAGCATTTTATATTAGAAAGAGACCATTCAGTCAGCCTTTTACCTGTATAGAAATTCAATTCAGTAAACATTTGGTGAGCACCTACTTATGCAGCAAAAGCCATGTTGGACATTGAGGATATAACAGGGAGACACAGAAACAGAATCGTCATACAATTTAAGAATTCTATGAT